GAACTCGGCCTCGTCCGAATCGACTTTATCGCCATTAAAGTTTGACAGTTCGACCTCGTTCGAACTGGGACTCAAGCTAAGTGCCTTCGCCATCAAAGTTTGGCAGTTCGACCTCGCTCGAACTGGGACTCAGGCTAAGTGCATTCGCCACCGAGGTCTGATAAGTTCGACCTCGTTCGAACTGAGTTCAAGGCTAAGCGCCTTCACTATGAAAGTTTGATGGTTCAACCTCGCTCGAATTCGAACGGGTTAACATTTCAATAAGTCAAAATAACACCCTTTAAGGCCAAGTGCCATCGCTATAAAGAAGAAAACCGCCTCGTCCGAATCAGCCTTCGGCCTCGTCCGAATCAATATTCGGCCTCGTCCGAATCAACCCTCGGCCTCATCCGAATTGACTTTATCGCCATTGAAGTTTGACAGTTCGACCTCGTTCGAACTGGGACTCAGGCTAAGTGCCTTCGCCATTAAAGATTAACAGTTCGACCTCGCTCGAACTGGGACTCAGGCGAAGTGCCTTCGCCATCAAAGTTTGGCAGTTCGACCTCGCTCGAACTGGGACTCAGGCTCGAACGGGTTAACATTTCGATAAGTCGAAATAACACCCTTTAAGGCCGAGTGCCATCGCCAAAAAGAATAACTCGGCCTCGTCCGAATCAGCCTTCGGCCTCGTCCGAATCAACGTTCGGCCTTGTCCGAAACAATATTCGGCCTCGTTTGAATCAACCTTCGGCCTCGTCCGAATCAACTTTATCGCCATCAAAGTTTGACAGTTCGACCTTGTTCGAACTGGGATTCAGGCTAAGTGCCTTCACCATCAAAGTTTGACAGTTCGACCTCGTTCGAACTGGGACTCAGGCTAAGTGCCTTCGCCATCAAAGTTTGACAGTTCGATCTCGCTCGAACTGGGACTCAGGCCAAGGGCCATCGCCAAATAGAAGAATTCGGCCGTCCGAATCAACATTCGGCCCCGTCCGAATCAACAATCGGCCCCGTCCGAAACAACATTCGGCCCCGTCCGGATCAACATTTGGCCCCGTCCGAATCAACAATCGGCCCCGTCCGAAACAACATTCGACATCGTCCGAATCAACCGGCCTCGTCCGAATCAACCTTCGGCCTCGTCCGAATCAACATTCGGCCTCGACCGAAACAACATTCGGCCTCGTCCGAATCGACCTTATGGCCAGGAGCCTTTGCCAAAGAAGAAGAGTACGACCTTGATCGAACGACGATGGGTTAATATTTCGACAAGTTCGAAATAACAC